TGACAACCGAGGGGGAGGATGTAGAGACGAAAGGGGAGAGGGGAGGAAAATCGCCTCCTCCTCCTCCTCTCCCCGCCGGGAGATCGCCCTGGATCTGCCTATGGTTGTAATCGAGTTGCTTGTAAGATTTGCGAGTGGTGGGAAAGAGTTTAGAGAACAGGAAATATAAACAGTAAAAACATATTTAAGCCAGAGAATGTTAAATGAAGCTTTGCAACAGCGTTGTTTATGAAACTTGCGGGCGCGTGAAAAAGTACGAGACTTAAAGAATATAAAATAGAAAGAGTAAAAACATATGTACATCAAAGAGTGTCGTACTCCAAATATAGTTATCTTAAAGTGTTTTCATTTTACACTTTTTACGATATTTTTGTTCAATTTTTTGATGGGACACTTCCTACAGATTTGTAACAATCAAGAATGTCTGTTTGATGGCTTCGATTGCGATAGCGCCCAAGAACAGTGCCAGAAAAGTGATTACTGTACCGGGCATTACGGCAACGAAAACTGTGATCCGGAATGTAATGTGATCGGTTGTGGCTGGGATGGTGGTGATTGCGATTCCGCTGATACCCATTCATCGGTTTGTTGAGCGTCGTATTTTTCATAGACGGTCGTATAGCGTTTGAGATATATGAAATTTTGAAATAATCTCTTAGGTCGAGTCAAGAGTCAAAATTCCCTTCGCATTCCTCCCGCACTGAGAGGCGGAAGCATTCGTGAAGTAGCTCGAGTGATAGCAAACGCCAACAGCAATCGCCCTCTGGCGACGCTATGAATAGTTGGTTCTTCTGAGGGTTGGTTAGGAGCAAGCTGATGGCGGATTTGTCTCCCTGACATACACAAGTGCCAATTTACCATCGAAACGAATCGTGGAGCAACTGATCATCCCACCGGCAGGGTTGAATTTTCGAACTATTGCACGGCACTGGTGGATGGCACTAATATCGTGCAGTAGACAGCGCCATACCTGTCAGTTTTTCTTAAACACGTAGCACTACTAAGTAGGAATTGCTAACATGAATTACGCAAGACAGAGCCAAATTTAAACATTATTGCATGCTGCGGTTAAAATCCAGAAAGCTGTTGGCTTTGGGGGGATACCGCAGAAGTACTCCTTTTCTACGGCCTAGTTCATATGTCAAAACATTTCAGTAACATCGGGGATTTTAGGTCAGTAACGTGGATTAAGCACAAATATTTTTGCAGTTAGCGGGAAATATAATCGTGATACTGCTAATCAGTCCGGAGGAGTTTGTACGTAACGCACAAACATTTCTTTTCACACTGAGTCAGAAACTGCGCGGTTCGGTGCGAATCCGAACAATGAATGGCAAACCAATGATTTATTCCTGGAGTTCGGAGAAAGGTGTCGGGGCGCAGTACGATGTGCCTGCCGAACAACTACAGTCGCTTGTTTTGCATCACCGACGAGAGAGGAGACAAAGTAAAATTAATTTCTTTGCTAACAAAAGTGAGGGAACAGTGGAAAATTCGATGAAAGTACTTTCGGAATACGCAAAAAAAACATTCTAGTTTTTTGCTGTACTTCGAACTGTCATGAAAAACAGCGAAATTTCTATCTTTAGTTTATAAATTTTGAAAAAAAAATTCTGATTTTTTGTTCCAGTGCCTTCGAAGTCTCACAAATTTCGCTTTCCTCGGAGGAATAGTAAAGTTAGACCCAGCAAAATAACTCATCGATTAGTATGGGACCAGCCGTTATAATGCAAAATCAACGATTTACTTTTTCGTAGGTCAGTTACGTGGCACGATGGTAATGTTAACGTTAGACGTATCGCGATGCCAAGCAAGCGACCACGAGGAATGCTTCACTGATGTATTCAGTGTTGTCGATTATCTGGGTGCTTCGAATGCGAAACAGGTCATATTTGCAGCACTTCTTCTTGTCATCGAATTTTAATTGACGGAGCAGCGTTGTGTGTGTGTGTG